GGTTGATAGCACGGAGAAAAAGTATTTACCTGACTAACGGAAAGGATAAGTGCTAAATTAAATCCCAGAAAAGCAAAAAATATAATCGCGGAAAAGCAATGTAATTTGTCGCGGAAAAGCAGGATTCTTTTCGCGGAAAAGCTGGTTATAAATATTCAAATTAACAGAATTTATATCTACCATAGCTAACCGTATGCTAAGCTGATTCACACACAAATAAATAATAATGTAAAATAAATTTCCACAATATGACAAGCAGATTTTCGGACTGAATAACTGTAAATCATTTCTATTAGACTCTGTATTATTTGTTACTAAACTTATCTTATTTATGGCTATATCGGCAAAATAAAACAAAACTTTGTAAATTATGAAAGTCTTAATCCCACCTGAGGCACAGTCAGCGGTGGGGGGGGGGGGGGGGTGCACTAACCACTAAAATAAAAAAAAAAAGATCCGATTCAAAAAAAAAAAAAATTAAAATATATATTGACTTCTTGAATATAGTCAAGTATTATATGTACAGTGGACCTTCAGATATCCGGACACCAGATATCCGGACGCTTCAGTTTCCGGACGATTTTTAATGGGAACGAAATTTTTAACGTTATTTTGTCTCGTTTAACCGGAATTCCGCGTTCCGTATCCGGACGGTCCTTTTTCACCACAAAATGAATTCTTACGTTATATTTTGATTCATTTATCCGGACGATAATTTTTTAACTGGTCTGTCAAGTCTGCTCAAATTTCTTGATCTGGGTGTTAATTGTTGTAAAAACACTGGTCTGGCTGTTTGTTTTTAAAGATGATCACCTGCCAACTGTTATCAATGGCTTGCGGCAAGGTTAATTGTAGGTCGATAGGTACGCACAGAATCTCGCTTCTCTAACATGGCTTTGATACATATTAATTAAGGAAAATAATTTTATAAGTGTAGAATAATTTTTTCGTAGTCGGCAAATATATTTCTTTTACTGTTAGAATACAGTCGTAACATGGTTTTATGTATTTATATACATGACATCGGAGTTTTTTTTTATGCACAGTATTTTGTGCGCGAAACGCATTCTATGATTTGATGACATTTAAAAATCACTTTCAAAATTACACAATCGTTAATACGATCTAGCTTTGGATGATTACGATTAGCGTTCGTATACATATGCAGATTATGTCACATTTAGCATTGATGGGCGTTCATATTAAATAAGGCTCTACCGACATTACCGTACCGACATGGTAGTACTAGGAGAAGTTGATTCATTAGACACTGGGAAGTAGAAATAATTAATCTGACCATATAAACATGTTTTTTTCCCAATGACACATGTACTTTTTATTTATTTAAACAAGTATTGAGTAGTACTAACTTATGTAAAAGTATTTAAACAATAAAACATATTGATGAAACGCAACATTCTTCACTATTGAAATGGTATGAAAGGCCATATAACTAAAATCAAGGCAATTCAGGTATCCGGACGCTTCACATATCCGGACAAATTGACTGGGAACCAAAGCGTCCGGATAAATGAGGCTCCACTGTAATTGATAAACACTTATGAAATTAAATTCAAGGCATTTACATGTCTTGTGTATCGAAGCAAAACCGGGCGATTTCATATAAATTTTTGCATATATTTATACCCAGAAGGGTTCAAGGTAAATATTTGACACCAGGTGAGAGAGCAGTTCAGGTATGTTGACGTTGAATACACACGGGCTAAGATGTCATGTAGGGGTAGGGGGTTGGGTCTTGACCTGACAAGAAGACAGTGTACTGATTAGGCAGGTACATATACATGTAGGTGTCAGTTCTTTAAGTACTGGAGCGCTTCCGTCTGTCAGTGTACAGTATATACTCAGTTCATTTCCACGCCGAAATAGGTAAGATGTATACTGATTTTTTTTTCGATTTTCTAAAGGCAATAGTAAGTAAAAATGGTTAAACATCTACATTATAATATATAATTATGGTGAATGAATAGAACATGCTCATGCATTATAAATTGTAGTTTATTTTTTAGTTAGACACATAAGAGAAATAAATAAATAAAAAAAAATAAATATGAACTACATGTACATACTTGCACGTACAGACAAAATTTGTGTGTAAATGTTATCAAGATCATGCATTACACTGTATATGCCTTTATGAATCATTTGGAAACAATCCTTTAGATAATTGATTGTGCATACATTTAAAATAGAGGCATAAAACTTTACTAGTAACTACATGTACATGTGTGTTACCAAATGATGCTTTTCAAATATTAATAAAAAAGTGCTTCTCCTAGTGTTTCTGAAAAAATGAATAACTTGTTATTGATTAATTCCATTATTGATGAAAAAGATAGGCCTTATATAGATGCTGATATGTTTTCAATTTATTTCTTTTAGCTCACATACCTACTGTTTTATGTTTCTATAATTATCAAAAGAAAGTTAATAATGGTCTACCTTTTGGTGACTCTGACTATTTAAAGAAATTCTAATATTTCTATTTTTGATAAATAGTATTTCTTACAAGTCGACAATCTGAATTAAAAAAAGAAAAAAACGATTGACTTGTAGACAGATTATTTTATGTGCTAAATAGATTTAACTTTCGATTTACGCTCTCTGCTTGGTTACGGTCGGTACTTGACGATTTTTGTTATTTATTTATGTATATATTTATTTATTTAGAATTTATTTATTTATTTCTTTAAATTTATATACCAGAGAATCAGCTAAGTTATTAATTTCTCTCTCTCTCTCTCTCTCTTCAACAATTAAATGGATCGTAAATAAAATAACAAAACGAAAAATGAACTCGGGATATCTCGGGTGTTTCTTCTCAAGGTAAAGATAAAAAGCGAGGGTTTCCGAATGCACACGATAAACGCAAAACACCATACACAATAGAACCTGATAAACGATCTTCACGATAAACGCAAAACCTGATAAACGGAAAACACGATAGAAAACGCAAAACCTGATAAACGGAAAACACGATACGATAGGATACGATAGGATACACGCACGATACGACAGGATACACGCACGATACGATAGGATAAACGCACGATAGGACACGATAGAATTGTAAAGAATAACGATGCGGGTACTGTAATTCATGATGTAATTTTAAAGGAATATGACCGTTCACGGTAGCTCATTCGGTAGAATGCTCGCTTCGTGATCAGGAAGTCATGAGTTTGAATCTCGGCTGCGACTGACCTAAGTTGATTTAAAAAAATGGGTAACAACTGTTCCTTCGCCATGTGCTCGGCACTTTGAAGTGAAGGTTGTGGGTCGTTCGGATGAGACCTTAAAAACTGATGCCCCGTGTCACGGCAGATATTGGCACGATAAAGATCCCTAATTGCGCAATGGCCCTGAGTGCCGAGTAAAGGTCAAAATTTGAAGCCCTTCACCAGTATATGGTGTTGTCTCCATATGAGTGAAAAATTCTCGAATGGGAAGTAAAACAACATACAATCACTTGTTACAATAAGTAAAGGTAATTTTACCAGATTTATTAAATTCTTGGGCAAAATAGCTTCAATTATCAGTTAATTTTGTTTAATACTTCTGTGGACCCTTTACAGTATTGTATTATACTCAGGTGACCATTAAGGCCCTTGGGCCTCTTGTGTTAAACAAGCAGTTATTGAACTTCAGTAATTTTTTTTTTTTTTTTTTTTTTTTTTTTTTTTTTTTTGCAAAATGTAAGAGAGTGAGAGTACCACATTTGTATGGACATTTCCCGCTAAATTTTCCAAAATGAGGAATTATTATTTTGCAGGTAAATTGTACACATTTATAAAGGATCTACTAAGTACTTAGATTTTGAATTTTGATGTTTAATGATGGAAATAGCAGTAGTTGAACATTTTCATTTTTATACAAAATATTGGATAAAAGGGACATGCAATGTAATTTTTCCAGAGTACTCCTACATGTGTTGATCAATTACGTGTATCTGTCCCTCAGAAATGTGCATGGTACCTGAATTTTGATTTTTGATCATTAATGAAAGGGATATTAGCTGATGAACTTGGTCAATTTGATGCAAAATTTCAATTACAAAATCCGAAGGTATTTTTTCACTTTGCAGGAGAGATTAAACTTTCATTAGAGATATACATGGTTCTTTGATTTAATTTAAAGATAATTTATGGGGAAAGTAGCGGTTGTTGAGCTTCATCATTTTTGGTGCACAATATTGCTTATTTTGGTACATCGTTTGCCAGGATAAACCCTCCAATAGTTTTCAAAGTAAGGAGTAGGAGTTTGTTCTGCAGGTGAATTGAACATATTAATATAAGATATGTTTAATACATTGAGTATGATTTTTGGTCATTCACAGGGAAAATATTAGATGTTGAGCCTAGTCAATCTTATGCAAAATATTACTTAGAGGGTACTGCTTCCTACAGTTTTTGAGATAGGAATCTTTCATTATGCAAGTTAGTTGCTTACATATGTAAGAGAGCCACCAAGTGTTTGGACTTTGTTTTGTATAATTTATGACGAAATATCTGTTGTTGGTATTCTTGATTTTTATGGCAACCCTTGCATATAGGGTTCATTTTATTTGTCCAGATAGTTCCTACAGTTCTTAAAAGAAGAATCCCCCCCCCCCCCCCAATATTTTTACATCATCGATATTCATGGCACCTTGATTTGGATTTTGGTCATTGCCGAAAAAGATACAAGCTGTTGAACATGTTCAATTTGGTGCAATATATTACTTTAAGGGTCTACCTTTCTGCAGATAATTCCTCTTCAGTTTTCTGCTGAAAGAAATCCCATGAAAGGGAATATGTTTCTAATTGTTCAAGTCAAATGAACATACAGTAGAGATGAAAATGGCTCATGTATTTTGATTTTTGATCATTGACATGAAAGTACCAGTTGCTAAATGAAGCCATTTAATATGTTCTATTGCTTCCAAGAGTTTTCCAGTTAACTCCTTCAACAGTTTTAAAGACATTTTTTTTTTCATTTTGCAGATCAGAAACGTACATCAGAGATGAACCTGATGCTTAGATTTTGATTTTTCATCATCAATAAAGGTACCAGTTGTTAAAATTAGTCATTTGTATGTAAAATATTTCATACTGGGTTCAACTTGTATTAACTTCTTCAACAGTTTTCAAGAAAAGAAGTTTTTGCTTTGCAGATCAATTGTACATGTTTACATCCAGTATGAGCTAAGTAGTTTGATTTAACCTTCTGATCATTAATGGTTAAAAATGCAGTTATGGAACTTCAGTCATTTTTCTGCAAATTATAAGAGAGTATAACATTTGTATGGGTATTCCCTGCTAAATTGTTCAAAATAAGAAATCAATATATTGTGATTGTAGGTATATTATTGTACATATCTGAAGGATCTATTGAGTACTTTGATTTTGAACTTGATGGTGTAAAATAGCTGTGGTTGCACATGTTCATTTTTTATGCACAATATTGTATAAAGAGGAAATCATTTTCCCAGAGTATTCCTACAATTGTGGACACAATATTGTATAAAGAGGAAATCATTTTCCCAGAGTATTCCTACAATTATGGATCAATTATCTATTTCTCAAAAATGTGCATGGTGCATGGAGTTTGATTTTTGATCCTTTATGAGAGGGATATTAAAACTGAACTTGGTCAGTTTGATGCAGAATATTGATTACAAAATCCGAAGGTATTTTTCACTTTGCAGGAGAGGTTAAACTTTCATTATAGATGTACATGATTCTTTGATTTAAGATCATTTATGGGGAAAGTAGCGGTTGTTGAATTTCATCATTTTTGGTGCAAATATTGCTTATATTTTTACATCATTTTCCTGAATAATCCCTCCAATAGTTTTCAAAGTAAGTAGTAGGAGTTTGTTCTGCAGGTGAATTGAACATATTAATATACATGTAAGACATATGTTTAGTACATTGAGTATGATTTTTGGTCATTGACAGGGAAAATACTAGATGTTGAGCCTAGTCAATCTTATGCAAAATATTACAGGATACTGCTTCCTACAGTTTTTAGCTCACCAGAGCTGAAAGCTCAAGTGAGCTTTTCTGATCACCCGTTGTCCGTCGTCCGTTCGTCCGTTCGTCTGTCCATCCGTCTGTAAACTTTTCACATTTTCGACTTCTTCTCAAGAACCACTGGGCCAATTTTAACCAAACTTGGTACAAATCATCCTTGGGTGAAGGAGAGTTTAAATTGTTAAAATGAAGGGCCAAGTCCCCTTCAAAGGGGAGATAATCAAGAATATACAAAAATTGGGTGGGGTCATTAAAAAGTCTTCTTCTCAAGAACCACTGGGCCAGAAAAGCTGAAACTTATGTGGAAGCATCCTGGGGTAGTGTCGATTCTAAATTGTTCAAATCATGACCGCCGGAGGTTGGGCGGGGCCACAATAGGGAATCCAAGTTTTACATTGAAATATATTGGAAAAATCTTTAAAAATCTTCTTCTCAAGAACCACTGGGTCAGAAAAGCTGAAACTTATGTGGAAACATCCTGGTGTAGTGTAGATTCTAAATTGTTCAAATCATGACCCCCGGAGGTTGGGCGGTGCACCCCCACAGTAGGGAATCCAAGTTTTACATTGAAATATATAGGAAAAATCTTTAAAAATCTTCTTCTCAAGAACCACTGGGCCAGAAAAGCTGAAACTTATGTGGAAGCATCCTGGGGTAGTGTAGATTCTAAATTGTTCAAATCATGACCCCCGGGGGTAGGGCGGGGCCACATTAGGGAGTCCAAGTTTTACATTGAAATATATAGGAAAAATCTTTAAAAATCTTCTCAAGAACCACTGGGCCTGAAAAGCTGAAACTTATGTGGAAGCATCCTGGGGTAGTGTAGATTCTAAATTGTTCAAATCATGACACCCGGGGGTAGGGCGGGGCCACAACAGGGAATCCAAATTTTACATTGAAATATATAAGAAAAATCTTTAAAGATCTTCTTCTCAAGAACCACTGGGCCAGAAAAGCTGAAACTTATGTGGAAGCATCCTGGGGTAGTGTAGATTCCAATTGTTCAAATCATGACCCTTGGTGGTAGGGCGGGGCCACAATAAGTACTACCGGTGGGGGGGGGATCAGGTGGAAAACAGCAAGGCCAAAGTTACTCAGGTGAGTTCTGTGGCCCATGGGCCTCTTGTTTAGATAGGAATCTTTCATTATGCAAGTTAGTTGTACATATGTAAGAGAGTCACTAAGTGTTTGGACTTTGTTTTGTATCATTTATGACAAAATATCTGTTGTTGGTATTCTTGATTTTTATGGCAACCCTTGCATATAGGGTTCATTTTATTTCTCCATATAGTTCCTACAGTTCTTAAAAGAGAATTTTTCCTCTAATATTTTTACATCATCGAAAGCCTGGCACCTTGATTTGGTTGGTTGTCAGTAATCATTGATGGAAAAGATACAAGCTGTTGAACATGTTCAGTTTGGTGCACTATATTATTTAGGGGTACATCATTTCTGCAGATACATGTAACTCCTCCTTCAGTTTTCTGCTGAAAGAAATCCCATGAAAGGGAATATGTTTCTAATTGTTCAAGTCAAATGAACATACAGTAGAGATGAAAATGGCTCATGTATTTTGATTTTTGATCATTGACATGAAAGTACCAGTTGCTAAATGAAGCCATTTAATATGTTCTATTGCTTCCAAGAGTTTTCCAGTTAACTCCTTCAACAGTTTTAAAGACATTTTTTTTTTATTTTGCAGATCAGAAACGTACATGAGAGATGAACATGATGCTTAGATTTTGATTTTTCATCATCAATAAAGGTACCAGTTGTTAAAATTAGTCATTTGTATGTAAAATATTTCATACTGGGTTCAACTTGTATTAACTTCTTCAACAGTTTTCAAGAAAAGAAGTTTTTGCTTTGCAGATCAATTGTACATGTTTACATCCAGTATGAGCTAAGTAGTTTGATTTAACCTTCTGATCATTAATGGTTAAAAATGCAGTTATGGAACTTCAGTCATTTTTCTGCAAATTATAAGAGAGTATAACATTTGTATGGGTATTCCCTGCTAAATTGTTCAAAATAAGAAATCAATATATTGTAATTGTAGGTATATTGTACATATCTGAAGGATCTATTGAGTACTTTGATTTTGAACTTGATGGTGTAAAATAGCTGTGGTTGCACATGTTCATTTTTTATGCACAATATTGTATAAAGAGGAAATCATTTTCCCAGAGTATTCCTACAATTGTGGACACAATATTGTATAAAGAGGAAATCATTTTCCCAGAGTATTCCTACAATTATGGATCAATTATCTATTTCTCAAAAATGTGCATGGTGCATGGAGTTTGATTTTTGATCCTTTATGAGAGGGATATTAAAACTGAACTTGGTCAGTTTGATGCAGAATATTGATTACAAAATCCGAAGGTATTTTTCACTTTGCAGGAGAGGTTAAACTTTCATTATAGATGTACATGATTCTTTGATTTAAGATCATTTATGGGGAAAGTAGCGGTTGTTGAATTTCATCATTTTTGGTGCAAATATTGCTTATATTTTTACATCATTTTCCTGAATAATCCCTCCAATAGTTTTCAAAGTAAGTAGTAGGAGTTTGTTCTGCAGGTGAATTGAACATATTAATATACATGTAAGACATATGTTTAGTACATTGAGTATGATTTTTGGTCATTGACAGGGAAAATACTAGATGTTGAGCCTAGTCAATCTTATGCAAAATATTATAGGATACTGCTTCCTACAGTTTTTAGCTCACCAGAGCTGAAAGCTCAAGTGAGCTTTTCTGATCACCCGTTGTCCGTCGTCCGTTCGTCTGTCCATCCGTCTGTAAACTTTTCACATTTTCGACTTCTTCTCAAGAACCACTGGGCCAATTTTAACCAAACTTGGTACAAATCATCCTTGGGTGAAGGAGAGTTTAAATTGTTAAAATGAAGGGCCAAGTCCCCTTCAAAGGGGAGATAATCAAGAATATACAAAAATTGGGTGGGGTCATTAAAAAGTCTTCTTCTCAAGAACCACTGGGCCAGAAAAGCTGAAACTTATGTGGAAGCATCCTGGGGTAGTGTCGATTCTAAATTGTTCAAATCATGACCGCCGGAGGTTGGGCGGGGCCACAATAGGGAATCCAAGTTTTACATTGAAATATATTGGAAAAATCTTTAAAAATCTTCTTCTCAAGAACCACTGGGTCAGAAAAGCTGAAACTTATGTGGAAACATCCTGGTGTAGTGTAGATTCTAAATTGTTCAAATCATGACCCCCGGAGGTTGGGCGGTGCACCCCCACAGTAGGGAATCCAAGTTTTACATTGAAATATATAGGAAAAATCTTTAAAAATCTTCTTCTCAAGAACCACTGGGCCAGAAAAGCTGAAACTTATGTGGAAGCATCCTGGTGTAGTGTAGATTCTAAATTGTTCAAATCATGACACCCGGGGGTAGGGCGGGGCCACAACAGGGAATCCAAGTTTTACATTGAAATATATAGGAAAAATCTTTAAAAATCTTCTTCGCAAGAACCACTGGGCCAGAAAAGCTGAAACTTATGTGGAAGCATCCTGGGATAGTGTAGATTCCAATTGTTCAAATCATGACCCTTGGTGGTAGGGCGGGGCCACAATAAGTACTACCGGGGGGGGGGGGAGGAGAAATCAGGTGGAAAACAGCAAGGCCAAAGTTACTCAGGTGAGTTCTGTGGCCCATGGGCCTCTTGTTTAGATAGGAATCTTTCATTATGCAAGTTAGTTGTACATATGTAAGAGAGTCACTAAGTGTTTGGACTTTGTTTTGTATCATTTATGACAAAATATCTGTTGTTGGTATTCTTGATTTTTATGGCAACCCTTGCATATAGGGTTCATTTTATTTCTCCATATAGTTCCTACAGTTCTTAAAAGAGAATTTTTCCTCTAATATTTTTACATCATCGAAAGCCTGGCACCTTGATTTGGTTGGTTGTCAGTAATCATTGATGGAAAAGATACAAGCTGTTGAACATGTTCAGTTTGGTGCACTATATTATTTAGGGGTACATCATTTCTGCAGATACATGTAACTCCTCCTTCAGTTTTCTGCTGAAAGAAATCCCATGAAAGGGAATATGTTTCTAATTGTTCAAGTCAAATGAACATACAGTAGAGATGAAAATGGCTCATGTATTTTGATTTTTGATCATTGACATGAAAGTACCAGTTGCTAAATGAAGTCATTTAATATGTTCTATTGCTTCCAAGAGTTTTCCAGTTAACTCCTGCAAGAGTTTTAAAGACATTTTTTTTTTCATTTTGCAGATCAGAAACGTACATCAGAGATGAACCTGATGCTTAGATTTTGATTTTTCATCATCTATAAAGGTACCAGTTGTTAAAATTAGTCATTTGTATGTAAAATATTTCATACTGGGTTCAACTTGTATTAACTTCTTCAACAGTTTTCAAGAAAAGAAGTTTTTGCTTTGCAGATCAATTGTACATGTTTACATCCAGTATGAGCTAAGTAGTTTGATTTAACCTTCTGATCATTAATGGTTAAAAATGCAGTTATGGAACTTCAGTCATTTTTCTGCAAATTATAAGAGAGTATAACATTTGTATGGGTATTCCCTGCTAAATTGTTCAAAATAAGAAATCAATATATTGTAATTGTAGGTATATTGTACATATCTGAAGGATCTATTGAGTACTTTGATTTTGAACTTGATGGTGGAAAATAGCTGTGGTTGCACATGTTCATTTTTATGCACAATATTGTATAAAGAGGAAATCATTTTCCCAAAGTATTCCGACAATTGTGGATCAATTATCTATCCTCAGAAATGTGCATGGTACCTGGATTTTGATTTTGATCATTTATGAGAGGGATATTAAATGCTGAACTTGGTCAATTTAATGCACAATATCGATTACAAAATCCGAAGGTATTTTTCACTTTGCAGGAGAGATTAAACTTTCATTAGAGATGTACATGGTTGTCTGATTTTGATTTAAGATCATTTATGGGGAAAGTAGCGGGTGTTGAATTTCATCATTTTTTGGTGCAAAATATTGTTTATTTATATACATCATTTTCCTGGATAATCCATCCAATAGTTTTCAAAGTAAGTAGTAGGAGTTTGTTCTGCAGGTGAATTGAACATATTAATATACATGTAAGACATATGTTTAGTACATTGAGTATGATTTTTGGTCATTGACAGGGAAAATACTAGATGTTGAGCCTAGTCAATCTTATGCAAAATATTACTTACAGGGTACTGCTTCCTACAGTTGTTGAGAAAGGGAATTTTCATTTTGCAAGTCAGTTGTACATATGTAAGAGAGTCAGTAAGTGTTTGGACTTTGTTTTGTATCATTTATAACAAAATATCTGTTGTTGGGACCTCGGTTTATACGGTCTCGTCCGAAGGACCCTTCTCCACGTCCCACAGTGGGATTCGAACCCATTACAAAAGGATCAGCTCCTTACTTCGCGACTCTAAAGCAGACGCTCTAACCACTGCGTCATGCGGGCGATTATTTGAAAAGGAAGATATGTTTCTAAATATTCAAGTGAAGTGAACATACAGTAGAGATGAACGTGGTTCCTGGATTTTGATTTTTTTTATCATTGATATGAAAATACTAGTTGCTGAATTTAGTCATTTAATGTGTTATATTGGTAACAAGGATTTTTCAAATAACTCTTTCAACAGTTCTAAAGATACAATTTTTTTTTTCATTTTGCAGATCAAAGAAATGTACATCAGAGATGAACATGACGCTTAGATTTTTTGTGCATTTAGGCAACACCCATCAGCCACACAATTCTCAATTTATAGGACCCGAAACAGTGCTGCGACTTTTTTTTATTTCTATTTCATTCTGACATTGTTTTGAATGAGTAATTAATTATTGACTGTATTATTATGACAGCAAAGTGTTTCGGCGGTTTGATATCGTATTGGTGTATTAAAAATCAAAATCACGGCCCCGCCTTCCTCAAGGATCCAACCGTAATTTCTATTGTGGCAAATAGCTTTTGTAAGCAAATCACTAATACTTTTATGTTTAGCATATGCAAATCATTGGTTTTGTTTGAAAGATTTCTTTGCATGTTTCATCTTTTAAAACTAATGACCAGTATTTTTAATAATTTGGATTTCAGCCCTTTGATTCTTGGGTCACACTTTGTAATTAGAACAATAGGTATTTCCTTTGTTTTCTTGGTTTTATGTAACGTTATGACTGTTTTCAGCTAAGGATTCATTAATAATTGTGTCAATCTCAGTTCTCTTGTACCGCTTATTCTCTGTTTAAAAGGTGTGATCTGAACTCCAGAAGTTCGTTGTGCAATATTTCCTTGTCACGTGTATTGTGTACATATCTTATACATTCCCCCTTAATAAAGCCTTTCAAAACTGATTTAGGGTGAGCGCTGTGGCGGTGCAAATATTGGAATGTGTTTGTTGGTTTAATATATGACTTAACATCAAGAATATGAAATTCCTTGAAACGGTTTCCTTTGTATACATATGTGTCCAAAAATGGTAGTGATGCTTCAGATATTTCATAGGTAAATTTCAATAAAGGATGACATTCATTTGTTATTTCAAAAAAGCGAATAATTTCGTTTTCCGAGCCATCGTAAATCATAAATCCGTCATCACGGAATCGCCCATGGAAGCAAATTTTGTGTTTGTATTCATAGTTGTTTACTACCATTTCAGTTATTTGATATACTCTTAGGTCCGATATTTCTGGACTACTTGGGCTTCCCATTGGATACCCGATTGTTTGTTTGTAATATTTGCCATTAAATTCAAATAACGTGTTTTCGAGAATGCACTCTAGTGAAAACATCGAAGCCCCCTGTCCCAGGGTCTGAATTTTGAGGGTAGGGTACTACGGGTCAGTTTCCACTTCTGTGAAAAAATGGTGATGGTACTGTCTCTAATTTCCTTGATATAGCCCTCCAGTTTTTAGGCCTACTATATAATACTATATAAATAAAAATCGGGCTCGGGGACATCGAAGTCCCCTGTCCCGGTGTCTGAAATTTTGGGGGTAGGGTATTACGGGTCAGTTACCACTTCTGTGATAAAATGGTGATGGTACCGTTTCAAGTTACCGAGATATAGCCCTCCAGTTTTTAGGCCTACTATATAATACTATATCAATAAACATCGGGCTCGGGGACTTCGAAGTATGATGTGCCGGGGTCTGAAATTTTGAGGGTAGGATACTACGGGTCAGTTACCACTTCTGTGATAAAATGGTGATGGTACCATCTCTAGTTTCCGAGATATAGCCTTCCAGATTTTAGGCCTACTATATAATACTATATGAATAAACATCGGGCGCGGGGATATCGAAGATCCCCTGTTCCAGGGTCTGAAATTTTGAGGGTAGGGTACTACGCGTCAGTTACCATTTCTGTGAGAAAATTATGATGGTGTCATCTCTAGTTTCCGAGATATAGCCCTCCAAGTTTCAGACCTACTATATAATACTATATTAATAAACGTTGGACCTGGGGACATCGAAGTCCCGTCTCCCGGGCTTAGGAAATTTTGAGGGTAGGGTACTACGGGTCATTTACCACTTCTGGGAAAAAAAATGGTTATAGTACCATCTCTAGTTTCCGAGATATAGCCCTCCAGGTTTCAGGCCTACTATATAATAGTATATGAATAAACATCGGGCTCAGAGACATCGAAGTTCCCTGTCCCGGGGTCTGAAATTTTGAGGGTAGGGTACTACGGGTCATTTACCACTTTTGGGAAAAAATAGTGCAGGAACCATCTCTAGTTTCCGAGATATAGCCCTCCAGGTTTCAGACCTACTATACAAAACGATATGAATAAACATCGGGCTCAGAGACATAGAAGTCCCCTGTCCCGGGGTCTGAATTTTTGAGGGTAGGGAACTATGGGTCATTTACCACTTCTGTGAAAAAATGGGGATGGTACCGTCTCTAGTTTACGTGATATAGCCCTCCGGGTTTCGGGCTCACTATATAATACTATATGAATAAACATCGGGCTCAGAGACATCTAAGTCCCCTGTCCCGGGGTCTGAAATTTTGAGGGTAGGGTACTACGCGTCAGTTACCATTTCTGTGAGAAACTTATGATGGTATCATCTCTAGTTTCCGAGATATAGCACTCGAGGTTTAGACCTACTATATAATACTGTATTAATAAACATTGGACCTAGGGACATCGAAGACTCCTTCCCAGGCTCTGAAATTTTGAGGGTAGGGTACTACGGGTCATTTACAACTTCTGTGCAAAAATATGATGGTACCATCTTTATAGTTTCCGAGATATAGCCCTCCAGGTTTCAGGCCTACTATATAATAGTATATGAATAAACATCGGGCTTAGAGACATCGAAGTCCCCTGTCCCGGGGTCTGAAATTTTGAGGGTAGAATACTACGGGTCATTTACCACTTCTGTGAAAAATGGAGATGGTACCATCTCTAGTTTCCGAGATATAGCCCTCCAGGTTTCTGGCCTACTATATGAATAAAGATCGGGCTCAGAGACATCGAAGTTCCCTCTCCCTGGCTTAGGAAATTTTGAGGGTAGGGTACTACGGGTCATTTACCACTTCTGGGAAAAAATGGTTATTGTACCATCTCTAGTTTCCGAGATATAGCCCTCCAACTTTCAGACCTACTATATAATACTATATGAATAAACATCGGGCTCAGAGACATAGAAGTTTCCTGTTCCGGGGTCTGAAATTTTGAGGGTAGGGTACTACCTATCATTTACCACTTCTGTGATAAAATGGTGATGGTACCATCTCTAGTTTCCGAGATATAGTCCTCCAGGTTTCAGACCTACTATATAATACTCTATGAATAAACATCGGGCTCAGAGACATTGTAGTCCCCTGTCCCGGGCTTAGGAAATATTGAGGGTAGGGTACTACGGGTCGTTTACCACTTCTGGGAAAAAAAAATACTATCATCTGTAGTTTCCGAGATATAGCCCTCCAAGTATCAGACCTACTACATAATACTATATGAATAAACATCGGGCTCGGGGACTTCGAAGTCCCCTGTCCCGGGGTCTCAAAATTTCAGGGTAGGGATATACGTGTCATTTACCACTTCTGTGAAGAAATGGTGATGATACCATCTCTAGTATCCGAGATATAGCCCTCCAGGTTTCAGTCCTACTATATAATACTCTATGAATAAACATCGGGCTCATAGACATTGAAGTTCCCTGTCCCGGGGTCTGAAATCTTCAGGGTAGGGTACTACGGGTCATTTACCACTTCTGTGAAAAAATAGGGATGGTACCATCTCTAGTTTCCGAGGTTTAGCCCTCCAGGTTTCAGACCTACTATATAATACTATATGAATAAATATCGGGCTCAGGGACAACGTAGTCCCCTGTCCCGGGCTCTGAAAATTTTGAAGGAAGGGTACTACGGGTCATTTACCACTTCTGTGATAAAATGGTGATGGTACCATCTCTAGTATCCGAGATATAGTACTCCATGTTTCAGACCTACTATATAATACTCTATGAATAAACATCGGGCTCAGAGACATCGAATTCCCCTGTCCAGGGCTTAGGAAATTTTGAGGGTAGGGTACTACGGGTCATTTACCACTTCTGGGAAAAAATGGTGATGGTACCTTCTCTACTTTCCGAGATATAGCCCTCCAGGTTTCAGGCCTACTATATAACACTATATGAATAAACATCGGGCTCATAGACATCGAAGTGCCCTGTCCCGGAGTCTGAAATTTTGAAGGTAGGGTACTACGGGTCATTTACCACTTCTGTGAGAAAATGGTGATGGTACCATCTCTAGTTTCCGTGATGTAGCCCTCCAGGTTTAAGGCCCACTATATAATACTATATGAATAAAGATCGGGCTCAGAGACATCGAAGTCCCCTGTTCCGGGGTCTGAAATTTTGAGGGTAGGGTACTACGGGTCATTTACCACTTCTGTGAAAAAATGGTGATGTTACCATCTCTAGTTTCCCAGATATAGCCCTCCAGGTTTCAGGCCTACTATATAATACTATATGAATAAACATCGGGCTCAGAGACATCGAAGTTCTTTGTCCCGGGGTCTGATATTTTGAGGGTAGGGAACTACGGGTCATTTACCACTTCTGTGAGAAAATGGTGATGGTACCGTCTCTAGTTTCCGTGATATAGCCCTCCGGGTTTCAGGCTCACTATATAATACTATATGAATAAACATCGGGCTCAGAGACATCGAAGTTCCCTGTCCCGGGGTCTGAAATTTTGAGGGTAGGGTACTACGGGTCATTTACCACTTTTGGGAAAAAATAGTGCTGGTACCATCTCTAGTTTCCGAGATATAGCCTTCCGGGTTTCAGACCTACTATATAAAACGATATGAATAAACATCGGGCTCAGAGACATAGAAGTCCCCTGTCCCGGGGTCTGAATTTTTGAGGGTAGGGAACTATGGGTCATTTACTACTTCTGTGAAAAAATGGGGATGGTACCGTCTCTAGTTTCCGTGATATAGCCCTCCGGGTTTCAGGCTCACTATATAATACTATATGAATAAACATCGGGCTCAGAGACATCGAAGTCCCCTGTCCCGGGGTCTGAAATTTTGAGGGTAGGGTATTACGGGTCATTTACCACTTCTGTGATGAAATGGTGATGGTACCATCTGTAGTTTCCGAGATATAGCCCTCCAGGTTTCAGGCCTACTATATAATACTATATGAATAAAGATCGGGCTCGGGGATATCGAAGGTCCCCTGTCCCAGGGTCTGAAATTTTGAGGGTAGGGTACTAAGCGTCAGTTACCATTTCTGTGTGAAAATTATGATGGTATCATCTCTAGTTTCCGAGATATAGCACTCGAGGTTTAGACCTACTATATAATACTATGTTAATAAACATTGGACCTAGGGACATCGAAGACTCTGTCCCAGGGTCTGAAATTTTGAGGGTAGGGTACTACTGGTCAGTTACCACTTCTGTGCAAAAATGTGATGGTACCATCTTTATAGTTTCCGAGATATAGCCCTCCAGGTTTCTGGCCTACTATATAATACTATATGAATAAACATCGGGCTCAGAGACATCGAAGTCCCTTGTGCCGGGGTCTGAAGTTTTGAGGGTAGAGTACTACGGGTCATTTACCACTTCTGTGGAAAAAATGGTGCTGGTACCATCTCTAGTTTCCGAGAAATAGCCCTCCAGGTTTCAGGCCTACTATATAATACTTTATGAATAAAGATCGGGCTCAGAGACATCGAAGTTCCCTCTCCCGGGCTTAGGAAATTTTGAGGGTAGGGTACTACGGGTCATTTACCACTTCTGGGAAAAAATGGTTATAGTACCATCTCTAGTTTCCGAGATATAGCCCTCCAGGTTTCTGGCCTACTATATAATACTATATGAATAAACATCGGGCTCAGAGACATCGAAGTCCCTTGTGCCGGGGTCTGAAGTTTTGAGGGTAGAGTACTACGGGTCATTTACCACTTCTGTGGAAAAAATGGTGCTGGTACCATCTCTAGTTTCCGAGAAATAGCCCTCCAGGTTTCAGGCCTACTATATAATACTTTATGAATAAAGAT